CCCAGGATGAAATCATCAGCTTTTATGTACAGAGATGAAAAGGATTGGTCATATCAGCCTGGAAAGATAACTTACATATCACTTGTGCCCTGTGCATTTTTGCTTACGTCGGCTGCTTCCAGGAGTGGCAGAAATTAAGACACTATAAACCTAATCACTCTACATCCAAGAGCCTATGAAAGACTGCAGTACACCCTTATCTACAGTGCTGGAGACAACTGTGTCAGACAATCTGAAGCAAAATCAATGCTGCTACAATGAAGAGCTTCCGTTTGAGAGCCCCGAGTTCTTCGTGTTCGGACGATCTTTTCTCGAGCCGCTGAACCATCCTAAGGATAACAAGAAGCAAATGTTTCTGGCACAAACAGGCTTGCAGAGGAGAGTGGGTTTTAGGCTTCCTGATTTGAAGTTGTATCATGACCCACTTGTTCTGAAGTAGGTCAGTCTGTGGTATGCTGAACTCAATCAGAAAGGCCAGCCCAAGAGTAGTCTGAGTTAAGGGAAAGATGTAGAAAGCCACTTCCTATTTCTGTTATGTCAGTATTGGGTGCAGTGAATTTTTACTAAGGGGAGTTTTTTGTGTGCTGTCCTTTCTCATCATTGTCAGGCCTGTCAAATGCAGAAGGACTGTGCTCTGATAGTTCCTTGTTCCTGCTTGGTGAATTAAATGGGTTTACATAATGTTTTTTCAAGGTTGGTTTTTTTTCTGGCATAGATAATTTGCTTCCTCTTGCCCAAACAGACTCAGCTGCATGCATACACTTCTCTTCTCACTTCTGCTCTGCTATTTCCAGTGCTAATCATTACACCACAGCCATGAAAAATGTTAAAACTCTATTACCTGTATAAGGAAAATGATCTTCTGGGAGTTTGCTGTTTGCTAGGTAAAAGCTATTCTAAGAGAAAGAAATGACTGCATGTTTTAGAAAAGACAGAGGGTTCTCTTTCACAAAGATTGTTTTCTACATCTACCTAATACACAACTGGGTCAAGCCATGAGCTGGGAGAAGCAAAAACTCCTGACAAATAACAGGATTTCTAGTGAGTGTAGAGTAGCACTGAAAAAGGTAAGTATTGAAAACCACTTTGTTTTAGAAAAGACAGCATCACTAAAGGAGAAGTATGTTCATCTCACCATTGTTTTTAATACAAAAAAAAAAAAAAAGTAACTCTAAAATAACAGCTAAAATGTTATTTTTCAAATATACATGACAAACTGTTACATGAACATTTTGATTTGTATTCCCTAAATACAGCTATATAACACAGCTTGTTCATACATGACATACTGCCACATTTGGAAGTCGCTCTACAGCTTGATTTATCATCTGCCACGTTAAATCTATCAAATTCCCATTTTTCTACTTGGTAAGTTCGTAGTGTTACCGGTTGCTTTGTGCCTGGCCAATGATGCTGCAAGGGTATTAAATTACTAGTTTAATCCTGACACTGGAATTGACAGTTTCACAGCAAATTGGACCCCTCGCTTGAACCCGTCTCGCTGGCACAACTCAAATTAGATGGTTTGATCAGTCAGCGCAGAGCACCTGCTGTTCCCCCAGGTATCAGTCTGCAGCTCCTAACAGATTGTGATGTTTCTCTGCCCTTGGTACCTTAGGATGCCATCTGCTGTCACCTCAATAGCCGTGTCTAAGAATTCTTGGAAAAGAGTTTATTCCCTTGCAAGCCACGCTCAGAACAATGTATGTTTTAACTACATTTTATCATCCAAGAGCTATAGGAAGAGTCGAGTACTTGTTGTACTAGACCGTCCCACACATAACATTTTGCCTACACATAAATGTTTTGCCTTTGCTTGTGGGCCTGCTGCCAGGAGAGAAGACAGTTCAAGTTACAGCTTGAATCACAAGTGCACCTAAATTTTGGCTACGTGGCTTCACTAATCACGGCACCCCAACTGGACTATTTCAATGTTTCCTGTTTCCTAACCTGTTTCCAGACTTTTTATGCATAGAACAGAAACCCATACCAAGTCAACTCTCACTTAGATGAGTCATCTCTCCTGAGTCAGGTAGTTCTTGGATGTTCTTATCCCTTTTCTGGCACTATTAGCCCTGGAGAATCTGCCATGTGCAGTCCCTCTTTCCTCATTTTTGTACATGCAGCTGTGTGGCTGCAATGGTAGATAAAATCCCTCCCATTTAGGACATGCATTGGAAGTATATCCAGGACAATTCCATATGTGGACACTTTTTAGAGAATATCTGTTTTCCCAGGGAGTCTCAACCCAGATTATCTGTTGTCTCCTTGACACAAACAGGGTGTAAAACAAAAATTAATGGATTTTTCAATATAAAGTTAAGGTGCAGCAAAATTTCAGGAACATGGAAATGTAGATGCAGGTGCTTACAAATAAAATTGTTACTTTATTTTGGGAGTATAACTCAAGTCATAAAAGCAAAACAACAGAAATGCTGTTGTAAATTAATAATAAGAATTAACAATAGTATTTTAGTCTCGACTTCTCCTGTGACATATTTCTGTTTTAACCACAGAGTATTCTAAATTTCATCTGCTGCTTTTACATTTAATATGTTATTTTTGATTGCATAATCTTTGAATGATGCTAGAAATTCAAGGAAGCTAAAAGACCTCAGGCTACACGTGGGCTCATTGCTGCTGGTGATTGAAAATAAATGACCAATTATCAACATCCCTATGAAGGAGCTGAAAGTGTCACTGACACACTAAGCACACCCAGCAGTGCTTGGGTTTCAGATATACTTGGAAACATGCACACTGCAGGCTGAGGGGCTTCACCCATTTGCCTCTTGGATTTGCAGGTACTTCACAACCCTCCTTTGAGTGGAAGGTGGAAAAAATAGATGAGGAACAAGGAAACAGTCTTCAACTGATAGCTAGAAGCTACTATCAGCTGAAGAGTAATGCAACAAATCACTTCTTAGTATTTGCCCTGCAGGGGAAATGTGGCAGGGTTTGTATTTTCCAGAAAATTAAATCAGCAGAAGATTTGCCATTCCTTACAAAAATCAGTTGCCATGCAAAGTTATTTTGTTGCTTTGTGCAGGGGTGGGATTAAAAAAAAAAAAAAAGAAAGAAATTAGTAAATCTAATTATGATTCTTATGGGAACAGAAAGTATTCTGTCAAAGATCCTAAAGAACCAAAATGCTGCAGTGTCTTGACTGGGAATGGTGTGAGACTGCTTTGTGGAAAGAAAAAAGAGAACTACAAATGAAGCAAAAAAAAAAAATATTTTTTTAAACCCACCAAAAATAAACAAACAAACAAAAAGCACACAGAAAGAATATGCACAAATAGGATTCAATGGTAATACTGGTACAAGAATCACTGAGGACTGCAGCACTTGCTTATAATACCTGTCTGTATCCTCAGGAATGCATGGAGGGACATGTTATTTTTACACAGACTTTTGCACCAGTAACAAACCAACTTCATCCATTTCTGATACTGAGCATAAAAACAAATATTTTCTTTGTTTTTTTTTTCTTCAAAAGAGGTTGCATATGAAAAAAGTTCAACCAGAATAAAAGGAACCAAAAAAGAAATCCCACAACTTACATCTCTCTGGATGAAGCACGTGGGGTTTTGTAACAATGAGACCAGGGATGACCAGAGGAAGGACGAGTTACAGAAGCAATACAAAACTTTTAGCACGCCCAAAACTAGGGAGTAAAGAGCCACCCACAGAAATGCACACATTTGTCTTCACTTTCTTATTTTGTTCCCCTGCTTTGAATTCACTAGCTTGGTCTCTAGGCTTTTCTGCACCAAATTCATCACAGCTCTGGTTCCTAACATCTCCACCAACACTCACCTGTTCCCAGGGTAGGCTTGGGGAACTCCACCTCCTGACACTTTTGACACAGATCCATTCCTCTTGTCTGTACCATTTTGTTGGCAGCTGATTTAGCTACGAGTTCTCTGATCCCAAACAGGAGCCCACGCCAGTTCTAGCAGGAAAGGTGAGGGAACGTGCTGGGTAATAATTCCTTCCTGGGAAGCTGATAGCTTCCCACCTGATATCCTCAGTATCAGGGCATGCAATCCACCTGCTGGAAATTAAAGCTAAATTATCTTGTTCCTTCAGAGCTTCCCTCACAGAGAGCTGACAGTTCCCAGATTTGCAGAGTGACAAGCAGACTGTTTAAGTCCTAGCAAGTTTTGAAACCAGAAATTAACAGCCTTCCACTCATGACCACCTTTTAAAAAACCCAATACACCTCAGCTCCTCTCTCAAAGGCACCAAAAATATTTTCTATTTAAGTTTAAGTTAAAATTAATGCTTGCATGTCTAAGAGGTACCAAGCCAAAGTGTAAATTTATCCATAAGACTCCAGTGCTGACAGTGAGAGGACTACACAGCCTACATGGTCACATCCCTGAATTTCATGTTGGCCGTGTAATAGCAGGTAAAAAGCTGAGCAGCCTTCCCCATTCAACCTGCACCCATCTGCTACCATCCAGGCATCACTGACCACTATCAAGAGATCCTGCTCCAGGAAAACCTCATTATGGTGGAAGCCATAGGATACCATAGGAAGCATAAAAAGGGCAGAAATTTTCTGCAGATTTCTCCTCTGGAGATAGTCCTTTAAGTTTAGTGCAAATTGTGTTACCATAATCAGTCCTCCTCAGTAGACAGGCTAGAAGCTTGCCCAGTGACAGTATGTGTAAGGTTCCTCCTGAGTAAATAAACACGTAAAAGAAAGTCTCTCAAGTCTGATTAAGATCAAACTGAGCTAAGAACAGGTCATCATGTTAAGCACAAGCTTGATATATAGCAGTTGTCTGGGGGTAAGGAAGCGATTATATCCTGTGCAGGTCATAGCTACCCCCAGGGCAAGCAAAGTGATCAAGGGGGAAAGTGCCTTTAACAGGTGTCAGCACACTTGTGGAATTGTTTCAGCTGGAGGCTCATAAGCAAAGGAATTAATTTCAGGGGGAAGTCACGTTTTTCAATTGAAAAAATAAACATATCACACAGAGAGTGCTGATTTTAACATTTATTTTTTTTTAAGCTGCAATTTCCATTTTTTTTTTTTTCCCACGGGCAGACTTTGTTTAACAATAGCTCGAGAAATATTATAATGCTAACTACAGCCAAAAGGAAACATTTTGGCACCAGACAGTAATAAAATAAACAGAATAAATAACCCACTTTACACACACGGAACAAAACAAAACCAACGTGCAACGAACCTAATAAAATTCATACTGTACAACAGCTTAATGCAATCTTTACTAAATAATACCATGTTATATATTAGTGCACTTATTAGTAAAAATAGAAACTGTAACAAAATGCTTAATGCAAGCAAACCAGCGATGCAATATGAATCAACTGGAGAGGCTCAACGGTTCCAAAGAAGCCTGAGTTAGAGGAGGGTAAGCACACAACAGTGTACAACACAATCTCCACCAAGAGCTTGAACCTGGTGGTTCTTCAGCCATGTACTTGTTTTTTGGCTCCTTGCTGGGAATAATATCAGACTGACATCCTCTTGAGCTTGTGGCTGTTGGAAGAAAGAGAGGACACACATAAATAAAGACCTCGGCCACACGTCAGTTATAGGTTTCTTCTCTGAGAAAATAGTTCAGGTAGAAAAAGGGACACGTAACGGGACTGTCCCTGAGAAGACTCAAAATAGGAGTAGCCAGTTCTGGCAGGAGATGGAAAGACAAATGTGTTCACCAGAGCCATCAGAAGTAGCATTCAGGAGATGTAAGAAACAAGCTTTCACACATGGCCTGTTTTCATCAGCCTGACAGTATTTAGGTGTTTAGATTCCTACCTGAGGAAAAGAAGATGCTTCTTCACCCAGCCTTCCTTAGGATTTACACAGGCATTCAGCCCACCGATGGTGTGGAAGCTGGGAAAGAAATAATGATAAAGAAGTCAGTAAATAATTAGAAATCCCTGCTAGTAAATACTGTGAAGATGCATTTTGTCAAAAAGAAACGTGTCATAGTTACTCTATATAATGAATAACAACTGCTTTTGTAAATGCCATTTATACATGGGATACTGCAAACTCCTCCAATATTATGTGAACAAAAAGAAACACCCAATGAAATTTAAATGCAATAGCTGCTTCAGTCTCAGGGATCATTGTTTGCACCATAAAGTTGTGTTCAATTTATTTGATCCATTCAAAGACCTTTGCTGGCTACCAGAAATAATCTGTGAGTTTAAGGAGATTAGCTGCTGTCAGGCTAAGGTGACAAATTAACATCTAGCGGGGCCAAAACCTTGTGGAAAAGGAAATCCGATCCCTGTGAATTAAAAGAACCCTTATCACTTCTGTATCTGCTAACAGGTCCTGGCAAGGGAACACCCCGTGCTGGCTGGAGTGGCCCTCAGGTGGAGACGAAGCACGTCTTTGTTTGCACAGCCGATTCCTGAACAGTCAGATTCATTATTGACATTGTATGGCTGTCCCGTGAGTTAGCAGTCCCTGTCAACCAGAGGTTGTGTGTTCTGTTTGCAGGTATTATATGCAATTTGTTCGGTTAATTTAGCTTTTTGAAACAGCAAGAAAAATCATTCAAGTAATTGTTTCTGCCCAAACAGAGAACCTAAGGTTAACACATATCGGAAAAACTGGAGGATCTTCTGAAAAGCAACTTACATGATGGCAGGGATGTCACAGACTTCACTGGAGAGCTGCTCAGTGTAACCCTTCAGGGCCCAGCGAGGCAGGCGCACTTTGGTGTAAGACAGGCAGCAATCGTGGTTGCTGTATGCTGGAACCAAGGGAGACAGCAAAGTAAATAAAACCATGTGGCCCGACCTGCTGTGCTCTCCAGGTACTTGCTGTTCAGCTCCCCCCACCCCGTTATCCATCTCCCTCCTGGCAGAACCCCAGAGCTCACTCACCTTCAGAGGGGCTGCACAGGAGCAGCGTCAGGAGCCCCAGCAGGGAGACCAGGACGGTGCTCTTGCTGCTAAAGCCAGCCATTCCCACTCCACACACACTGCCGTGCTCCACTGAGCGCTCAGCTGCTGCCTGCCTGTCCTGCCAGCCCTGCCTCACCTCCACCTGCTTATAAAGGGGCGGCAGGAGCCACGGGAATTCACCTACGGGCGGGTTCCACTGTCATCAGCGGGTTTCCCCACGGCGAATTCCATTGCGCCTGATTTGGCCCCAGCACACCTTCCTGGTACTACAACCGGAGATAAGACTGTAACAGTGTGCTAGGGAATGTTTTGGTTTTTTTTTTTTTTAAGTAGCTTAATAGATTCAGTCTGAAAGAAAAGGAAATAAAAGGCTGTGAGGTAATGGTTCTGCGGGTAAAGGATGTGTAGTTTTAGGGGTAGGAGTGTGGGTTGTGAAATGAGGAAAGTCACATGTAGGTGACTCTCAGTGTTACCTACAGAAACTGTGTGTCTGCTGTGTTCCAGTTTAATAAACCCAACCTGGGGGCTGATGGAAGTGGGCTGACCCAGCCAGATTCATTTCAGTATGGTGTGTTCACAGGAGCTGTGATGATACCAAAGCACTGCATTAATGTTTACTGGTTGGCTGACACGGTAACATCCAGCTTTGCAGATTAGTGCTTTCTGAAATCTGGACTGTAGTACTGGCAAGGACACTTGAGCAATATTGAGTATTCGTGGAAATGGATTTCTTTAGCTTCCTATACCATGTATCCTCTGCCATCGATTTCATCCCATTCGTTACACATCTGAACTATTTAATCTGAAACAGAGCGAGCTTAAAAGCAACCTGAAACAGGGACTGTATTTTCCACTGAGCCTGTGCTGTCCAGAATACACTAATGCTGCTTCATAAACAATAGCTGTAGCTTGTTGCTTTCCCATGCCAAACCGTACCTGGGTATTGCAACTCCTGAACATTCAAAAAAAACCCCACAGAATCTTACAATTGCCTCCCATGGCTCTGGAGAAACCCCGGGGAGAGGCTCTGTCATCACTGCAAGCACACTCCTTGAGCTGCTGCTGAGGGACGGTGCTTTCCCGTGCTGTTTAGGGACCTGTGTGAAAATAACGGGTTGGCTGCAGGCCATTTTCTGGTCAGCCAGTGTAAACAGGAGCTGCCACCGGCTCCAGGTGCTTACAGAGTAACCTGAGCTTCGAGTGGCTTCTGTTAAGGTAGAGCTCAGGGACGCGGTCATCCTGCACAGACTGCCAGAACCTCTTTCTAGAAACGTGAGCAGCTTCAGCTCTAGAACAGCTTGTTATTCAGAGAAAATAATTTCTCCATACAATAGCCAGAATTTAGGGAAGCTCACGTGGCTGGTGTGTACATCAGCAGCCTTGCAGTGTGCATGGCACCACACACACTGGAGATGCTTCTCTGCAGAGTCACAGCCCCTAGACGAGGGAAGAGGCCACAAAGAACCCATGCCCTGATGTAATTATTTTATGGATCATAGTGAAATGCCATAAAAATATGTAAAGATCAGTGCTCTCAGTATACAGCTATTTTTGTGACTCTCTGTCAACATTAGGCAATGCCTCAAACATGAATGGTAACATTTGAGACACTTTGGCTTGATAGTTTTTTCCTTTACACACAGATTTCAAGGAACCCAAATTTGTTATACCTATACCCAACTTTGCTGTTTGTGATGCCATTTCCTAGGCCACACTGTTCTCTACGTGGAGGTGGCCTTCCATCTCAAGCCTCCCTTCTGACTCTGCAGCGATATTTCCTCTCCATTCAGTGCCTTTTGGAGAGAATCTTCTCCTCTGAGCTTTGACACTGCTACCTAAAACAGCAGCAGTTTGGATGCCAGAGCAGTGACACCAGCAAGGCTGTGCTCACCCTGTGCTCCTGCCCTCAGGCAATTTTTTTCTCTCCACCAAGTGACCAAGGCTGGCATCGTGCCTCCTCCTGTGCCAGCTGGACTCGGTGCTCTTGGTGCTCCTTTTATCTCGTGGTTTGTTTGTTTAGGAAGTTAGGAATAAGGTAAAGATTTAGATTTAAAACAAAAGCCAGGAGGGGGCCCCAACTCCAGGAGCGCTGGCGTTTTGCTTGCACTTCTTGTGTAGAAAGCGCCTTCAGTTTATTGGCACAAAGTAATTTAAAAAATAAATAATAGCTAAAAGGTTTATTGCAAACAGGGGGCAAAAGAAAAATAGAGAGAGGTGCTTATGTGTTCAAGGGAGGTGATTACTCATTTTAATTTGGCCTGTGAGGCTGTGTGGGGAGGGCTGTGTCCAGAGTTACCTCAGAGGGGCATCAGCCCCAGGTTGTGAAAAGGGAAATTTCCATCAGCCACAGGGAAACCCCCTCTCCAGAGCAAACAGGGGAAGCACTGGGACAGGCTGGCCAGGAGAGGATGTGAAAGCCCATTTTGAATACACCTGCAGATACTCAAAACTTCAGCTGGACATGGCCCTTCCCTGAGCATGATCTTCAATTTGGGTTGATCAAGGCCACATAATTTTTTCTAGGTTTTTGTTACGTTTAACGTTCCTTTTCTTATTTTAGTTTCCCAACTTATTTGTCTTCCTGACTTTGCTGTAAGCTTCTCAGCTTCCCTCCTTCCTCCTGTTGTCCCTGCTCAGATTCCCCCACAATCTCTCCCTCCCCGATGCTGCAACTCACAATTAGACAAATCGCAAAAACACAGATTGACAAAGTGTTCAGCCTCTCCTCGGCTTCCCCTCCTGTTGCTCCAGGGGCCAGAATGAAGGAGCTCAAACCCTTCTGTGTGTATTGATGTCGGGGTTTAGAGATGTAACAGCAACTGATAGCATTTACAACACAGAAACTGCAGATAGCCCGAGCCAAGTGATTTAAAGAAACAATGAGGAGGAGAAGTGAGGCAGCCAGCAAAGCAACACCCAGTCACTTCCTAACCAGGGGCATTGTCTTGAGGAAGTTCACAGGGTGGTTACTTAGAGACACCACTGAAGATCCCAGATGAAGACCCTTATAAGGACATGCATATATGCCAGGAAATGTTGGAAAACTTCGTGAATATGTAACAGGAATGAGGGGAATGAAAAATGAATAATCATGGACTGATGATACCCAGTGCCCCCAGAGCAGATTAAAGGATGCCTGGCTTTTAAAGCTCACAAATTGGGCCTTGGAGGTTTCTTTCAAGGGCTGCTTTTAGGCAACAGTATTACAAAAGATGAGGCAAAGACAGCCGAGGTGCCAGTGCTGCAGAGCCATTCTGTTAGGGCTGTGGAAGGAGAGGAAACACATCAGGGAAAACTGAGTCTTTTCCATATAATAGCTATATCTATACATTAGAGAGGAGATCTGCGGAGTCAAACTGCTCTCAGACACCACCAGCAAAGCTACAGCCCCTCTATCTGCACTTTTCCAGGTCACCAGGCTGCTGCATCCTGGTAAAACGCTTCTCTTTTTATCCCAAAGGACCTGCCCGAAGTCTGAAGTGCTGAAGGGACTTAATAGTTCGGCCTTGATAAACACCCCTACACCAGTGGAAAAATGGCCATTATTTTGGGGGATTGGCTTTGAAACTGTAGCCCCACGATGGTAATCTATTTGATCACGCAGCTCCCAGAACAGACCTACAGATGGAAGGCTTAAAACACTCTATTAACTTCTGAAGAGAAAGACAGAGAAGGAATTTTATGATCATCAACTCTCTTTGATTGATAAACTATAGCTTATAGTCAATTTATGGGTTTAGATCTAATATTAAACATGATAGAGTAAAATAAGAAAGCCCAAAATATGTCTTACATATTTGGATGTTGGACACTGTCTGTATCTTTACCTGTACCCTACAATGAGAAACAATGACACTTCTTAATTGACTGGCAGTTAACCATAACTTCCACGTTTATTTACCCTCACAGAGAGATGTTGTTTTAATGCATATTACTACCTTGTCTGAACTGATGAAAATAAAGCATTACAGCAATAGAGGAAAAACAGAACTGAATGGGGGAAATTCCCTTCCGTAATTTCCAGGGGCTTAGGACTCCTTTTACAGAGCAAAGGGCACGAGAAGGCACTGGCTGAAAGGATCATGGCCAAACGCAGGGATTTGATCATTGCACAATTCCTGATGATTAAATGCATACTAAGTCCCAAGCACAAAAGTTCCACAGGTAAATTGCTCAATAGCTCTGGAGCTTTAGAGGCTGTGATGCAATTCAGTGATTTCACGCAGTTCAACGCTTGCGTGAGTGACAGAATCGTTATCTGGAGGAAGAAGGCAATTTTCGCTAATTACAGGTTGCACTTGGTAAGTTACAGATCTAGAAATACTATAGAATGACATGGCTTTGATGCAATTATGGACAAATCATATGCCTGTTGGGAGAAATTAACCTCTCATCTATCGAAAGTGCAGATTATGAGGAGGCTGGTGCACCTGCTGTGAACATCCCAGCATCCATCCCGGCCCTGCTGGTTGATTGCTGCTGTGGAAGCTGAGCATCCAGTGTTCTGAGAGCACTAAAAGTTTCCCTGGGATGTACAGACCCCAAAGAAGACCTGGGAAAGGAGAGTGGCTGGAGTCAAAATTTAATTCAGAAAGATGAGAAAAAGATACAATTCCTTGGAAATTATTATGGAAGAGATATACATGACATTTTCCAGATCTTGAAAACTAATAGAAAAGAATATAGGTAGGGAAAAAAAAAAATAAAATCTGGGACTTATAATTTTTGTTAAAATGCAGCTTTAAGTGGGCTGAAACTGTTTGTGAATTCAATGGAAACATGGTTTTGTAAAAAATTAGAAGAGAATAATTTACAAAATGTGAGGCTGCTTTTTTTCTTGTGTTCTACATTTGCTTCCTCAAGTAGACCTAAAGCAAAGAAAGCAAACCTTACAAAGAAAAGAGGAGAAAGAAGAGCTAAGTAACATGGAGTGGCAAAGTTTTAGGTTTGCCAAAAGGACTCACCGGCTGAGGGTTTCACTGAGATGCACTTGACATGCAGAACATGTGCTCACTCTGGGTTATTAGCACATGATTAACACAGACGGTGTTTTGTCATGCATTACTGGAAGACCAGCTAAAAAATACCCAGTGACACCGACTTTTTTTTTTTTTGGATTGCCAAACACAAGATTGTTTTTAACAGCTGTTAGTTAACACTGTTGAGTGGCTGTGTTATGAAGCCTGGCAGAGTAGCCATGGTCACAGACCTTCTGCTGCAATCACTGCAGCTTTTCAGCACATCACACAGTTACGTTATAGGGACTTTCCTGGGAGGAAATTTAAACCACACTTGCCCAAAACAGACTTTCCTTCTGCCACAGAGTCGTGCCCTTTTCCCAAGGAAAATACACCACCACATCCCTGCATCCTTCTGTCCTGACTCTTACAGGTTCTTTTGCATAGTAAAACTGAGATAACTGACTTCCTTATCCTCCTACACCCCTTTTCTGGACCTCAGTCCTCACTTCTTGGTTTCTCCAAGAGACCTTTGTGGGCCTCAACAAGGTCAGGCTTTCCCTAGGTCCTGTTAAGGAAACATCTGTCAGGGTAATTTTTCTTCTGTTCCTGCAAGGTTCCCCTTGGCTGCTTAAAGCATTATCTTGCTTGTCCCCATTTTCAAAATCTTTCATATTGCTATCCTGGACAACTCCAGTCAGCCCCAGCTGTTCCTCTGTTGGTTGGGCCCTTGGCTGGGGGTTTGAGGAAGGTGCTGTTACCAACCATGCAAGTGGCTCCTGCAAACAGCAGAAAAGTTAGAGAATAGTTAGAGCCAGAAAAGATGTTTTCAGTCAAGTAATCCGGTCTCAGCAGAAATCTGCTATTCCAAAATGAACTGTGTTTTACAAGAACATCTCCTCAAGTAAGCAGGCTCAGCCTCCCTGAGATCAGAGACTGGTCCTTTTCCCATTTGTGTTTGTGCACAGCCCAGCACATCCGAGGGACATGGGAACAGGGGTAGAATTTCAGGGTATGACACATACACTCTAACTGCTCTGCCTTTGAAAGGACTCACAGGACGATGGAGGCACGTGGAGAAAAACTTGGACCACATAAAACAATATTATACTTGATGAAAGGGATAAAACCTCACATGCTGTTGATGAACAAACAAGCAAACCAACCAACCCGAAAGACTTCGATGACTCTATGATCCAAACTCTTCTGAGCTGGCAAGAAATCAAGGTATTAGAAGAACTCAGGACATTCTGAGTGCAGGAATTCTTCATTTCAAGCAGAGACAAAGAGCATGAAGCATTTATTTTAAGTCTGTCTCAAACATCATTAGCAACTGAGCATTATAAATGAAGCAACCAGCTAGTTATGAGCACTTGTCAAAATATGACAAACGCTCTTCCAGAAGGAATTTACACTGCCTGGGCTGTTGCAATGGTTCCAAATCTCCCGTAGTGTCTGTAACGAGATGTACCTTGAGGGAAGGAAAATAAATAGAAAAAAAAAAAAAAGGGTAGAGTGGAGATGCTGAGCTGAAACTTCCTGCACACGCTGGTTGGGCAAAGGCAAATTTGCATCTCTGAAATGAGGCGTCT